CAGCAGACTGGAGCCCGGCCTGTCCCGGGGAGCCCGTCTGCCTCACCACCTACTTCTCCGTCGACAGCTGCATGACCGACACGTACAGGCTCAAGTACCACCAGAGGCCCAAGCTCTGCCTCCCCGAGCGCTCCGGCTGCGGGAGCGAGAACCCGGCCCCTCCGGGCGCAGGAGGCCTGGGACCTGTGCTGCCGGACAGCCTCGGGGCAAGCTGCCCTCCTGAGCAAAGACACAAACCCAGTGTCCACTGTGATAGATGAGCCAGGACCCCGCCGCTCACGCTCAGAGGCCATCACAGCAGGAGGGAGATCGACGACCAAGCCTAGTGAGCAATGAAATGAAAACCGCGGTGTTTGTCATTCGTCACTTTAGCTTTCTCTGTGTCCTTTTACCTCGAGACAATCCACTCACTGGGTATTTTAGAAATCCCGTTGAGTAGTCTTGGCCTGCCTCGAAAAATAGGGGCGTGCAGGAAGTCACTTATGGTATGCTGCGGATGAATAAAAATGGAGTCTGTCCCTTCATTTTGTGGTTGGTAGAACCCCGAGTGTGAGAGTCCCCAGAACCTTGTGCTAGCTGAAACGTGTCAGGGGATGTGTAGTGGTAGGCAAAGCCGGCTGGGCTTTCTGAACAGGCACTTTTCCATGGGGCCAAAGGCCACTTGGCCAGCCCGTGGGTTCCGACCTCTTAGACACAACCAACCCAGGAAATTGATAGCATTTGGGGGAAAAGCCTTAATGATAAAGACATTTTTAAAATATATTTTTTATTGATTTCAGAGAGGAAGAGAGAGGTAAATAGAAATACAAACATCATGATGGAGAGAATCATTGATCAGCTGCCTCCTGCACACCCCACACTGGGGTTCGAGCCCACAACCCAGGCTTATGCCCTGACTGGGAATCGAACCATGACCTCCTGGTTCATACGTCGGCGCTCAACCACTGATCCACACTGCTGGGCAATAAAGAAAATTATAAATTCAATACTCATGATCAAAACAGGAGAAACTTATTTTGCTCCTAGAACTTGCATATTCAGAATGCCTAGTTAACATCAGTTTGGCCTTTGACTGTTGTATCAATAAACAATACTTCAGCCAGGTAAGCTAAAAATAATAAAATACTTAGCTTTAGTATATTTATTTATCTTGTTACTTTTTTAAACGTTTGTATGAAATGTGAACGGCCTTTATTTTCGTTTGGTTACTGTGGGCTGCTAGTGACCAGTGTTGGAAGGTGACCTAGTGCCTCCTGGGAACCTCAGTGGCCGCCTGGCTTCTCCCTGCTGTCATCTCTTCTGTCTGTAGTTTGGCAACCCGTTTTATTGGTTTTCTGATTCTTGTATCTGAAAATCCTTCTGGGTTTCCAGATAAAATTGTTGCCTTTGATTTAGAGGGTTTCATTTGAATGAAATGTTGTTTTACCCTCACTACACTCATGGAGAGGGCTCTATTTTTAAATGAAATAGAGGAATCTCCCATTATTACGATGAACTCACAAGTGTGTGAGCTACTTTGTCTTATGACTTTATTAGTTGTCATTCTGTACTAACTGAGGAACCTAATTGTGGCTCAGCTGAGTTTCACATTGTCCACTCCCGAGAATGAAGAACGACACACTGAAAGCTTTTCTTGCCTTTGCCAGTGGGTAAAGTTTATAGGTAGAACTTGATCATTTATGAACTGATTACTAAATTTAATACTTTGACCAATTCCATAAATTAAAATATTCCAAAATGTAAATGGTTAAAAATACTTTTAGACAAATAGAAAGTAATTGCTTACAAAAATCTAACTTTACCCAGTTACCAAATCTTAGAGTTGTCTTCCACCAGGAAGGCTTTTTAATAGCCTTTTCTAACTACAATAGTGATTGTTACCTTCTCTTCATTTAGAAATACTTGAATATCAACTAAATTACATTTTATCTTTTAAGAAAGTTTATTTTTAACATGACTTTGAGTATGGAGCATTTGTAAATATTGTAAACTTTGTAAACTTTGAAATGTAAGTGTATAACTGGTTTGCTTTTATAACATTGTAACATACTAGAAAATGGGCTTCATGTATTTTTAATAGCTTTCAAAAACCTTTTGTGTAGGTTTTTATTCTACTGGTCAAGATGTTCAGTTGAGATGTATTATTTGAAATAGCTAAACTGATTTCTGATATTTAACAGAAATCATCTCATAGATTTGAATTTACACTCAGAGTTGAGTTCAAACAACTAGGAATGCCCCCTTGGACTCCTGTTAGAGTGCTGTCCGGCCAAAACATCCCGAATCATGTAACAGCTTGAACAGGCTGGAAATGACCGTTCGTCTTCATGTGAGCCAACACTTCAAATACAGTTTGAGTGCTTATTTAGTAACTAATAATCCACATCTAAAATTTTTATTTTTAGGGTGCCTATTTATTTTTATAGGTGTTTTCTGCTTATAAACTATGATAATTTTGAAATAATGCAACCAATTGTAATGTTCAAAATACTTGTCTTCCAAATGTTCTATTTTCATGTGAAATGAGTTTTTCCAGTTCAGTTTTTTTTTTTTTTAGATAAACTGATCTTTAAGTTAATATGGTTGGACCTTTCTTTGCATTCATGAACTGTGGCTTCTTCTCCCCCCACGTGGATTATATACTTTATGTGAAATATGTCAATTTAAAGTTCAGGGGGACTTGGAATGTCACTGACCACCAGGTGTTATCACAGGAGGCTCCTGAGGGAAACGGCAGTGAAGCCTGAGCAGCCCCCACAGGAGCGGGCGGACTTGGTGAGGGGCCAGGCAGCACTCCAGGCCCGTGGACACGGGTCTGCAGCTCACCGCTCCTCAGCTCCGCCAGGGCCGGGGAAGCAGGCATGTGCCAGGGAAATGTGGACGTGGACACTTGAGATGTTACTCAATTTTTACATGTCAGGAAATAACCCATTCTCTCCTGCCACTTTCTCAGCTCACGGGCCTTATAGAGGCAGTGAGTGGGCCAGCTGTGGGCCACTGGCCAGTTCCATAACCCTTGTCCTGGAGCATTATCCACATTGGATGCCCTACTGACCTCAACCCCCTGTGGGCTCCGAGTGAGTCCGTGCAGTTAGGGGTGGGAACGGGCAGCACCTCACATCCTAACACTTTCAGGCTAACAGCCGTCCGCACGGTTGCTAATCAGCCAGTTCATTTCAAATGGTTGTAAAAACAGCCATTTTACTTCCAAGCTTGTGAAATTTACCAGATTAAAGCCATATCGCTGTTATTCTTTTGGTGTCTTTCTCACCATATCAAGTGTGCCAACATCCTTGGTGTCCCATCCACACTGGAGGCTTGGAAGCCGTCAGTGTGGGCACATGAGCCATCACTGCTTGAGGCCGCAGCTCAGTGGTAGTGCCATTTCTTACTCAGCACCTGGAGGACAGGTTCCGCCTCACCTGCCACCACTTCCGGGTGCCATCACCGCCAGGCCCCGCACTGAACCTCCGTGTCACCCTGTAGAAATAGGGTGCCATCACAGCAGGCCCAGCTCTGAGCTTCCGTGTCCCCCTTTAGAAATGGTCAGGGTGCCATCACTGCCAGGCCTCACACCGAGCCTCCGTGTCACCCTGTAGAAATAGGGTGCCATCACAGCAGGCCCAGCTCTGAGCTTCCGTGTCCCCCTTTAGAAATGGTCAGGGTGCCATCACTGCCAGGCCTCACACCGAGCCTCCGTGTCACCCTGTAGAAATAGGGTGCCATCACAGCAGGCCCAGCTCTGAGCTTCCGTGTCCCCCTTTAGAAATGGTCAGGGTGCCATCACTGCCAGGCCTCACACCGAGCCTCCGTGTCACCCTGTAGAAATAGGGTGCCATCACAGCAGGCCCAGCTCTGAGCTTCCGTGTCCCCCTTTAGAAATGGTCAGGGTGCCATCACTGCCAGGCCTCACACCGAGCCTCCGTGTCACCCTGTAGAAATAGGGTGCCATCACAGCAGGCCCAGCTCTGAGCTTCCGTGTCCCCCTTTAGAAATGGTCAGGGTGCCATCACTGCCAGGCCTCACACCGAGCCTCCGTGTCACCCTGTAGAAATAGGGTGCCATCACAGCAGGCCCAGCTCTGAGCTTCCGTGTCCCCCTTTAGAAATGGTCAGGGTGCCATCACTGCCAGGCCTCACACCGAGCCTCCGTGTCACCCTGTAGAAATAGGGTGCCATCACAGCAGGCCCAGCTCTGAGCTTCCGTGTCACCCTTTAGAAATGGTCAGGGTGCCATCACAGCCAGGCCCAGCTCTGAGCCTCCGTGTCACCCTGTAGAAATGGTCAGGGTGCCATCACCACCAGGCCCAGCTCTGAGCCTCCGTGTCACCCGTGCAGAAATGCTCAGAATGTGCCATTGCTGTGTGTGGGCTGATTTAGGCTCGGAAAGGTAGTGTGCAGAGCCTCCGTGTCACCCTGTAGAAATGGTCAGGGTGCCATCACAGCCAGGCCCAGCTCTGAGCCTCCGTGTCACCCTGTAGAAATGGTCAGGGTGCCATCACAGCCCAGCCCCGCACCGAGCCTCCGTGTCACCCTGTAGAAATGGTCAGGGTGCCATCACCGCCAGGCCCAGCTCTGAGCCTCCGTGTCACCCTGTAGAAATGGTCAGGGTGCCATCACAGCCAGGCCCCGCTCTGGGCCTCCGTGTCACCTTGTAGAAATGGTCAGGGTGCCATCACAGCCAGGCCCAGCTCTGAGCCTCCGTGTCACCCGTGCAGAAATGCTCAGAATGTGCCATCGCTGTGTGTGGGCTGATTTAGGCTCAGAACGGTAGTGTGCAGTGCAAGCCCGTGCGTGACTCAGCAGTGAGTAAGCTACGTGAGAACTGTCATCCTGTCACAACCTCACGTGCACATCAGACCAAGTTAGCGGCACAATAAACGTTTATTGGGCAAAATTACCAGCCAGCAGCACAGAAACAGTTCATACAATGTTTGGATACGGAAGGAAATCCCAGTTCTGTGTTTCTCTAGATGCTCCCACCTTTGCCCGAAAGGTTTTCTTCAGAGAGATCAACGGTACCCTGGAGCCATCATTGTTAACCTTGTAGTTGACAGATAAAGTCCTCCCAAATCAGTCCCAGATTCCACGGTAACCCAAGTGCCATTCTGAAAGGCAGAGGACGCAGCGTTCACCAGATCCATGCCCTGATTTGAAAGAAGGGGCGTCTCCCCAAAATACGTAGGCGATTCACATCCATCCGATGTCCCCAATTTCGACAAGATGCTGTTCCGAACATTGTATGTAAAGGAGTGTCTGCC